GGTTCAAAGAGAGCAACTAAATGGAATTGCTTTTATAAATCAGTGTCACATTATGCATTCAGCACACAGACTTAAACTACACTATAGCATGCAAGTACAATGCTCACAAATCTTAAGAGAATTCTTGTAAGTTGCTCTTTTTTACAAGGCACAATTTTTATATGCACCATGTGTAGTTTTAAAGTTCAGAATGACACCTTTAGAACAAGTGTCTACGAAGGCAACTGGCAGAGAATAAGCACTTTTCAAGCTGAAACTAATGTATAAAACAAAGTCTTCAACTTAAGGAAAATATACTTTTTGCAGTTAAAGCCTATATTATGACATTTTCTGATCTATGTTATAATGTTGTTTCCTCATCACAAACATATCTGTGTTTTGTTTCATTCATTGCTCCACTGTGTTTTAAAGTCCATACACCTTCATTAGAATCATTTGGATAATTTCAACCCTGGAATTTCCAGTCTCTATTGAACTATAAGTAAAAAGTGAACTTGAAAACCACCATTTCATGACATCACAAGATGGGACAGAGCAGTTTGAGCTTTAGAGACATAGACAGACTAATAATAAAGGCAAGGATTACTCAAACTTGTGCAAATGAAACAAAAGGCAACTCCGGGTCTGTTTTTGAGAAGGCATTTGGCTAAAATACAGCTTTCACACAAGTCAATTATGCCTAGTGTAGGACAATTAATATATTTAGGAAATGGTTAATATTTGGTGCAGGGAATAAAGATATTAACTTAAAGCTGGGTTATGTTTTCTTCTTTTTTTTTTTTTTTGTAAATGCGAAAATGCTTTTCCCTAAAGAGGACATAGTCATTTTGTGACAAAATGGAACTATCTCAAGTAAACGTCAAAAGCAGGGCTCTGATTGGCTGCACTTGGGCAGTCAACCCCAGTCTTACTTCACTATTTTAAAGCATGCAACTGAAAATGAACACACGTGGAATGATGTGCTAAAGGGTTTGGGAGAGCCAGGGCCAAGTTACATAGATTAAAATGACTTACTGATTCTGCAATGTGAAATCTGTTACATCAGCTTTGAAGGATGTGCTACAGTTTTTAATTCTTCACCTTATGGTTTTGATGTGACTTGGTATTAGAAAAGGAAAGAGAAGAAAGAAGAAAGCTATGCCACCTAGGAGAATGTGATAAAATCTTCCGAGCTAAATAAAACGTAGAGTGAGCTGGTGCAGGAGGAAGATTTAAGCCAACAGTCCAATAAGTGAAGCAAAGCAATACAATTGAAGTAGTTAAGTGCCTTGAGGTTTGCAAAAACGTAGGCTGCTAATGAGGTGTTTACAGAGTCAGCCATGTTGCTCAACATATTGATTCCCTCCATGTCCCTCAGCATCACTTCAGTGAGAACATTTGGTATGATTCACAGGGACACGAAAACATGACAACAGGCAGAAATGTGGTATATTCAAATTAAATACAAAAGCAGAAAATATGTTCAAATACAGTGAGCAAATCAACTTGTGGGTCAAATAACAATCCTAAGTGTCTGTAAACAGGTAAATGAATAAAGCTGCATCAAAAAGGACATCCAGCCACCTACTACATCATTATCATCATCATTAATATCTTCATCAATAGATGGAATTAGGTGAAACCTGGCAATAATTAAAAAGTATCTCAGATCAGTGCTCGGTCTAACCACATAATCAAAGTTTGTTGTTAGGTAAGCTTGTCACAAAAACAAGTTTTGAAGCACAATATATTGCAACAGAGAAATATTATGATAAACTGTAATATTAAATAATATAAAAAAATGATGCCAGTGACACAAAGCAGTAAAACAAATTTTAAATAAACAGATTAAATGATTAAAAAGCCAAAGCCAGTAAATGTCAGACTGAACCAATAATTTACCCATAGAAGTTATTTATTTTCCTCTCAACAGCTCAACTCTTACATTTATTACATAAAAAAATGGCACAAATATCACTACTGTAAAGAAAACGTAACCATGATAAATACTGATTACAAAATATATTGTTCCAGGCAGCTATTGTACATTGAACAATAAGTTGATGTAGTAATTGTGGTGACACATCTATTGTTAGGTTACCTGGTTTAAAATCTTGAAATAAATATTGTACTCGCTACATATAGGATAAAAAAGATTTACTGTAGCTGCCCAGGAAAGAAAAGGAAGTACAACAAAAGGAGATGATGATGTGCACTTTCACTGCATGGTAATAAAACGAAAAAGTTTGAAAGGCAAAAAAAAAAAAAAAAAAGAACCATGCATTTCCTGGCCGCTGCCCTTTCGGCTCATTTATTCTCCATGACACTGGGAGTCATAAATCAAAGCTGAACTGTCAGCTCTGCGGGGGGCACACAGACGGTCGTGTATCCTGCTTTTTTTATAACCTTTGACAGTCTTTTGACAAACCAATCAGATATCTCCAACCCAAAACGCAAGGCCATCTTAAACATATATGGTCAATAAAACATTTACACAGTTTGCTCCATTTAAGACTCATGTAGTGGTCGGTCTAATGACTGGCTACACACACTACATGACTCTTTCATTGAAGATTCAGGGCCAGCAACATATAGGGAAGAGAAAACATTCAGCAGCACTGTCTACATGAAAGAAGTCAGTGTACACCAGTATACCATGTTTACTGTCTGTTTACTACACAAATATTTGCATTTGATATCTGCCAAAGCTAAGAAGCTCAAGATTGATATCGTAATTAAATAGAAAAACTACACCACAGAAATGAAATATTACAAACTAGACTGCAGAGTACCTTTTCCGAAAAATATTAATGATGCTGGGATAATAGATAACTTGATAAATAGTGAAATGCACTGAGTACCACTTCATTATTGTTGACAATCAACTTTGCAATGAAGGTCAAGTTTTTCTTTTCTTTTTTTATTGTTGAGTGTAGACATATCATACTGGGTCCATATTGCACTCTTTTCTAATTTTCTAATGTTGTTTCCTCATCAAAAACATACCTGCTGTTGTTTTGTTTTGTTTCATTCAGACATGTTAAACCACAAATCCTGCACGTTTAGACTGAGTTCTTCTCTCAAACAGAAAACACTCTGTGCCACCTTGTGATCTCATGTAGTTATACAGGAAGCACACCTTAGAATAAATATTTGGATGATTTCAACCCTGGAATTTCAGATCTCTACAGAACAAAAGGTAAAAAGGTGTTAACTTGAAAACTACCTCTTCATTACACACAAGGTGGAACAGAACATTTTGAGCTTTAGAGGTGAAAACGGTATCATAATAAAAGGTTACTCAAAAATGTGTGAATGAAACAAAGTACAACGCCGGGTATGTTTTTGATGAAGTAAAAACATTCTAAAAAAAGCTCACAAGAGTTTTGCATAATATAGGACCTTTAAAAAGTAAATGACAAAAGTAAAAAAAAAATATTGCTTTAAACTAGGCTAAATGGAACTACAGAGCATGTTTGGTCCAGAAAACAATTAAGAACATTCTACCCCTCCCACAAATGCACGCAGCCAAGTACTGGCACGGCAAAGCAGCAAATTTGCTAGCTGGCTGACTGGGAGGACAGAGGGCCCTTTCTCACCAGTCAACGGCTGTCTTTAATGAGAATAGAAAGTGATTTACTAGCCTAATGCTCCAGTCCTCAGTCTGCCTCTGCTCTTTCAGCATCCAGTTTTGCCTGCACTCTTCACAGCTAGTGGATGAATCCGAGACTAGGCGAAAGGAGAAAAATAAAGGAGGAACTCAGGGCAGTGTCTGAAAACAGAAGTAATGAGACATGTAGTTGTGGATTCGCATACTCTTCTCGTCACTGTCTTCCTCAAGGTACTGTGTCTTCTTCTTTTATCACAACTCCCTACCATAGCACAGCACTCCACTTGCCCCCAAATGACTGGAAAAGTGCAGTACAACAAGTATAGCCTTTCACTTAACAACTCAAACTACTATTTTCTGAAGTAAAACACATAACTTGTACAACCCTTACACTGCCATTCACTTCTGCAGTAACAGCTCAAGTTTTTTCCATACGTACTTATCCAGTCAATAGTACTGTGGCCCAGAACCAATTTCAACGTGAGTGGTTTAGAGGCAATGTCACTCAGGGATTTTTCCAAGTCAACCTTCTTATAGAACTCTACAAAAGCCCTATTTGAGTTTAAAGATGCACTGCGTAACCTCTGGTAGAAGAGATGTTATTGCTTTATCTGGAATGTTCCACAGTATGGCATTAAAGACAAGCAGGTGATGTCATGGCTAAGTTACAGGTCACGTGCTTTGTTACGTTCACAGTAAGAGTGCATTTTTTCAGGTATGTTTTATCAATATAAATCTGAAACTTAATAACAGAAAAGTTAAAATGCCTCTCTGGAACATTCCAAGCTAAACAATATTTCCATGGAGACAAGAAAGCACACAGCTCACCTGAAAAACTACACAGTGCACCTTTAAGAATAAAAACACTGTACAGTAAGACACCGCAAAATTCCAAACATTTCAAATGCAAAACTATTGCAACTGGCACATCCACTGTTGGCACTGTGGCATAGTCTTATAGAACCCCCATTTCTGTCAAGACAAGTTAGGCTTAGTGTTCAAGTATGAGGGGGAAAAGGACCAATTTCATGCTATTTACAATATCAAATTGCTTTTCTTGATTGGGTGCTTGTTCTTTGGACATGCATGAAATAATCCTACTTTACAATAATTCAAGTCATAATCCGATACTGAAACACATTACGGGGAAGACAGAAGTGAGTGCGATGAGAAGTGAGAGAGGTATAAGCCATGTGGTCAACAGCAAGTATGGGCAGGGGAAAAGAGCACATGCTATTTTAGGCACTCCACCTGGATTATTGATTTACTGTGCCGAAGAAGGACTAACATGGAAAAAGTGGCGGCACTTTGGAAAGCAATCTTAGCAGACACGTGGTACGGCAGAGTGCACTGTCCGAAAGCGAGAGCTTTGTCTTGTGTGCATGGTAAAAACAGTCGTGTCAGATCTTACCGAGTGTAAAGTAAGGGAGAGCTGTGTTGTCGAGATCATCCATTACGGAGATTCGCCCGGGTATGTCAGTCCGAACGAATAAGAGGAGCCGGGACTCCCCCCCTCCTGCCCCGGCAGCGCCACCTGTCCCCCCAACACTTCCCCCTCCGCCGCCGACACCACTCCCGGGCGCTCCGCCGGTGAAGCTGAACTCGTTCTCCCGGAGCACAGGCAGAGTAGACACGGTGACGGTTTTGAGCTCGCACGGAGTCTCCGCGTCGCCCTCCTTGTCCCTGTCCTCGTCCGTAGACCCTACCCCCCTGGTGTTGGCCCGGACTAACCGCGTGGCTGTGACCAGGAGCCCAGCGAAAAGCACGCAGCCGAGGCGCAGCGCTATCCTCGCCATTCCGCTTCTCTGCTTTGAGTGGAGCTCATAAGCCTGTCCGTGCACTTATAGGCGAGTACAGTCGCAGCAAAAGGAGTCGCGTCCGTCCAGGAGGCGGCAGCACAGGTGTAGCGCTCTCACAATGGCATCTCTCCCGCGTCTGTACTCTGCACAGCTCCTCCGGGGCCACAGCAGACAACATCCAAGCACGTGTTCTCTTGGAGGAATAATATGACGTGGAGTTAACGCACTAAGCTTTTAGACAATGCCACGTAATTATTTTCCTATGTATATATATATAAATATTTATACTTTCATACTTGTTTCTTGTCGTGCAACTTAACAAATTCAGTGGGACTATATTTAAACCACAGCATCAGGGTGGCGTATAGGCTTATACACATTACAACTATGTTGGACTATGCTTATGTGAACTTTTTGAATCATACCAGGGCACTGAGTTGGACTCATTTGGCATTTATTTAGGTTGATTACTGGGATTTCAAGACATAAAACAGATTTTTATAATTGGTCGTTGAGAGAGCAAGCCTGTCAACATTTTGTTTGAGTAGGCAACTTCATTACTAGACTAAAAGTTTGCTGTAACAGGAAATACCTCGTATTTATGCCCTGCAGTGGAGTTTACCATGTGTGCAATACCTGTTTAAACATATAGTGTTTTATGCATATATTAAATGGATAATAAAATATGTAATGTGTGGAGCTCCTCCCACTATAATGTTAAAAGGGGCACAGTAATGCAGGATTTCATATTATTTCCAAAGCTTACACATTGTGTTGACATATTTGAATAACAAAAACAGAAAAGCATATTAATATTTGTGTGTGTAGCAGTCTGCATAAGTGCTGAAATATTCAAACAGGCCTTGGAGTATCCAGTCTCTGTGGTGCTGAAACATTCAGTGCCATGCCTGGACTACTCACTATTGTTTATACGCACCAAGGACCAGCGCTGATGTTTTTACACCGTGACCGACCCATGATTACACTGTCATTTTAGAAACAAATACTCCAACTACACTGATACCTTGACACACTGTTCTTTCATGATTTAAGTGCTGAATTATTACTGTGTGCTACCTGGAGCATACAAAAACAACAGCATATGGTCAACATTTTACATTACTTACCCCATATAATAAAACGTGCATTCATCAGTTTATTCTTTAGCTGATTTATGTCCCTAGTGGTGGTGAAAACAGAGCTTAATGAAAAGATTAGAATTAGACTGCATTTCTTAAATTTAAGATTCAATTCACATTTTACACACAAATGAGTGCACACTGAAATGGGACTTGGTGAACTAATCATATACGTTTTCAGAGTAATTGCTGCCTTTGCGATATGCTAATTATGAGCATTCAAAAAGCAAATTCAGTCTTATTAATCTTCCTGCCTTCGCTGTATCCTTTGTATGTGTTCAAATAATGTTTGATATTGTTACAGGCATTGTTAGGACAAAGAAAAGCAAAAACGAACTGAGCTGTCGCTGTCCGTGGTTCTGAAATACTTTGGATCCTCATATCCTGTACAACTGTACTTCCTCAATTGTCAGGTAAAACTTCAGCTTTAAAGTAGAACTCTGCTTAGTGTAATTTTAATTGATATGTAATTGTTTCTAATTGTTGCTGATATGTTTTTATTTGAACTCGTTATTGTGTTAACGGTACTATATTACACAAAATGAATTATTGTGAGCTTTAAGCCATGTTATAATGCTGTCACCCCCTCGGAAACATACCCAGAGTTGTGTTTTGTTTCACTCACATATGTTCAAGTTAACCTGCATTATTAGTCTATCCACATCTCCAAAGCTCAAAATGCTCTTTCCCACCTTGTGATGTCATGTAGTGGTAGTTTTCAAGTTTTCAGCTACAGGAGAGACACGGTAAAGGTGTATGGAGTTTAAAAACACAGTAAAAGCACTTCCTGTATTATTACCACATGACATCACAAGATGGAACAGAGTGTTTTCTGTTTGAGAGAAGAGCTTAGACTAAATATGCAGCATTTGTGTGTTAAACATGTAAGAATGAAACAAAACACAACTCCAGGTAGGTTTGTGATGAAGAAACAACATTATAACATTGATCAGAAAATAGCGTAATATGGGCCCTTTAAATGACATTTATTAAAAATGTCATGCTTTTGAAATCAAAACGGAAAGCCTTTTTTTATTTTGTTTTTGAAAATGGAGATTGATCACCATGACAAATAACTAAAAACTCAATTATCAGTATTTAATTTTTTCCCTTATTGCCGAGCGCGCATGTGTCCCTAGTTGACTCTTAAACTTCTCTGACTCTAATCAATGGTGTGAAAAAGCTGTCTTTAAAGTAAACACCTCTAAATGGCGGCGGCATCCATCAAGCCCTTTCAGTCATTTGCATTCTGCTGCCTCTGCCTTCGCCTTCTTGTTAATTTGACATTTTGGTTGGTGTGTCCGTCTGTCCGTCTGTCTGTCATGTTGATTGCCTGGTAAAGTAGCTGGTTACAAAGATTAGCCTAAAGGGCACACCTGACAGCCGCACTCTGCCCTGTGTGAAAGTGCTGACATCGTGCAGCGAGCTAATGGGGGACTGTGAGCATATGCGCTGTGTTAGGCGGACATGTTGGATTGTTATATGAGGGGAAAAAATTGCGACGTTGCAATATAAGATGTGTAAATGATGTTCCAAAAAAAATAAAAGGTGATGTGTGGAAAACTAATGGGTTAAGTAATAAATCGGTGCACAAATTGGATTGAATATACATAAGGATTTTGTAACTCAATGCACAAACCAAAAAAAAAAAGATCTGTGACAATATATACTTCATCCCATCACTATAGTTCAAATTAAATAACTATGAAACATGGGTAGCATCACTAATAGTTAACAGTTCAGTCCGTGTATAGATACTTACATGAGATAGGGCTGCATAAAATGTAGTAAACATATTCTTTCCTACATTAGACTTGCGATGGTCTTAGTTTAGTCTGTTTAAAAATTGACTCTTGTGAGTTTTAAGCCATGTTATGTTGCTAGCTCATCAAAAACATACCTGGAGTTTTGTGTTTTGTTTCATTCATATATTTGTGTAATCCTTTATTATTAGTCTGTCTACATCCCCAAAACTCAAAATGCTCTGTTTGACTTTGTGATGTCATGTAATGGTAGTTTTCAAGTTAATGACTACCTTTTACCCTCTGTTTAGTAGGAATTGGCAGTACCAGAGCTGAAATAATCCAAATGATCCTAGTGAAGATGTACAGAGTTCAAAAAATGCAGTAGAGCACTTTCTGTATTATCCCATGACATCAGAAGAAAGGAGTATTTCTGGTCTGAGAGAGGAATTCATCCTAAATATGCAGGGTTTGTGTGTTAAGCATGTGTGAATGAAACAAAATACAAATCCGGATATATTTTTTGATGAGGAAACAACATGATCAGAAAAAAATGCATAGTATGGGCCCTTTAAGTTGTATTTTAACACAGTTTAAAAGCAGACATGTACAGTTGTGTTGTTTAATTTATTGTGCCAAACAGTATATTCAAATACTGCACTAATATTAATAATCTCTCTAAAAAAACATAGTAAGCTAAATGTACTACTATGACGCAGCCTTATACTTCTGTCGAACTAAGCTGAAGTGTTATTAGGTCACAGAGAGCTTTTACACAGTCTGTGGTGGCTACATCATATTTATTGCTCAGGAAATTGGTTCAACCTGAAACCGAGGAAGCCTCCGACTGTTGCAGAATTGAATTTGATGAACAACAGGCTAATGTGTACTGCACCTGGACTCTGGTGCTTAAAGTGATTTGCGTGGCGTGATGTGCAGAGGGCCTGACCTCCTTCTCCTCTCTGCTTTCCTCTGCAGGATGTCTCAGTGCTGCTCCAGCTCGGCTAATGTTTGAACACTCCCTCTTGTGTCCCTTGTCCATGAGCTGTGCTGGAGTGTTTGTGATGAGTGGGGGTCGATTGAGTCATACAAGTTCATTACACTGAAACCTTTTTGCATTCAAAGTATCAAACACTGAGGGGAGTCAGGAGATATGTGCAGTGTAGGCTTTTCTTTTTCAGTTCTTTAACTCTTTTTTGTGGTAAATTTCATTAGCCAATGAAGGAACTATAGTACTAGTACAAGCCACAAGAGGTCAGTAAAGTAAATTGTAAAAATATAACAGCAGAGGGGTTAATATTAGAGCTTACCTAGTTACCTAGTTCTGAACAATATAACTTTCATATTTTTTTAATTTATTACATAATTATATTATTTATTTAATTTGTTAAAATCTATTTTTAAATTTATTACATAATTATTTATTTTTTTAATTTGTTAAAATCTATATAAGCTGAAGCCATGACTAACCTAGGGACTGTTAAGTGATCATTCTTACTTTGGTTATACTTCACCTTCTAGTTTTATTGGAAAAATAGATTTATGTTGGTTATTATTTAGCGTGAAACAGTTTTTGACATGTGTTTAATTAATGAGGAGCTTGAGAGTTTCTGCTGTTTGTGTCTCTGGAACTAAGCATTTGGAAGTCGGGATGGTGTAACGATGATCTCTGTATAGACTTAACTCCTGTCCTCCCTGGCCTGTCTCCTCTCACATGTACTGCGTAGAAGATGTAAGTGAGCATCTTCAGAGCTCTTCTTGACTCTTGACTGACTGGCAGCGCTCTCCCCACTACCTGCACTGCTACTGATTGGTTGAACTTATCTGGAGAGTGGCCCGCTTCTGCAGGTGTAAACAAAGAGAAAGTGGGTTACACCTGGAGGACATGCACACGTGGAGCAAGAGCATACGTGACAAATGGGTTTAGGGAATGCTGAGCTCACAGTTCCCACATATGCACTGAACTGCACCACACTGATAAGTAAAAATCTATTCTTGCACTATTATCAAGCCAGTGTGGGGCCTGGATCTTAAAGCGCCTATATTTATGCTATTTTCTGATTTATGTTATAATGTTGTTTACTCACCAGAAACATGCCTGGAGTTTTGTTTTGTT